TTGGAATCTCTGCAAATAAGCTATGTTAATAGATTTTTCAGCGTCAACAACTAATTTGAAGTATTGAATTTGACTGCAGTGAAGCTGGCTACTTAAAAAAGGAAGCAGGATAGGAAACTTGAGTTCTACCAAACCAGGCATGCTCGTATCGATTTATCATAAAAGGATTCGTGAACTGCAGCACTACGAAAATAAAAGGAAATGAAAGCTCAGCACTTTTTTCTTAAATTTTTAGAATCAAATACGGTAGTTGTTTGTTAGAATACTGGAATTCAATGTGAGCAACAGCACTTTCACTTACTTGTCAATTCTGGTGCTACTTCAGGTTCCACTGCACTCTTCTGCAAAGATGAGGCCTCATTACTGTCCTCCGCCTTTCTCGACGTGACTGAACTGCATCCCTTAAATTCAATATCAAATCAGTAGCTGCTACTTACTGCGCAAGTATTTTAGATCCCAGTTTCAGGGAAGTAAGAAACAGGCTCTTTAAAAAGAATCCTAAATATAACATGCACAACAGCAAACCCTTACAGCTTCACTCAGGCTCAGTCGTGAATCTCTTTCATCCACATCAAAACCTTTTGTCAGTTCTGCTAATTCGTCAGCTGCTGCCACAAATGCTGTTGCCTGCAATGTCATTGAAGGTAAAAATTAATCAGAGTAAATTTTATGAACAATTTCCAGTCTAAAAGACTGCACAATTACCATGCAAATTTTTCCAACACTGAAATGAGCACACAGAGAACTGAGGAGAGGAAAGCTGCTAGACAGGGGAAGAGCACTTACATCATCTTCATCTTCATTCAAAGTGATGGATAAATCGCGAATTTCCGGTTTCTTGACTTCCTTCACCGCTCTTGAAAGTTCACGTTCTGCATTGCTTCGATGGAATTCTGCAAATGAGCAACATAAAAATCCGACAAATTACATGCAACAGCCATCAGCAGAAAAAAACACCAAATTCTTCAGTAATACCTGGCATTGAATCTCTGTTCGGCAATGGCACTGAAGAAATTAAAGGATCCTGTCTGATTCCAGTAGAAGCCGTCGTAACCGCCGAGCTACCTTTAGTATCCGGGAAAGTTGTCATGCC